TGCACCGTACATACAAACTAGTCTCCTGTTTTGCCATGTCTCAGAAATAAAGCAAAAAGTCATTAAGAGGTGCACGACAATTCGACTCTCAGCTAACGGGTATGAGTACATAATAACGGAAATAATATAACTATCGACATAATCTTGTCTTTCTAAAAAAAAAAAAACTTCTTCACAAATGTGTCATTGAAAGAAAAGAAAATATACCAAATTAGCATCTTGTTAAAGGGTACAGATTTACCCAATGCATATGCGTTTAAAAGCCTCACAGCTCCTACATTGGGTCCGACGTAAGTGCCTACAAACCAGCTAACCAGATGTGGTCCAACTTCGAAATACTATGCACAGAGAAAGCTAAGAAAATCCTTGGCATCAAAATCCTCAGTACCAGCTTCGCTCTCTGGACCGCATGCAACGAAGAGCGACTCGAATCGTCGATAGCCCAAACATTTCCGATCGGCTCGATCCCTTGGCGTTACGTAGAGATGTGGCTTCACTGCATTTTCTATAGCATATATCATGGAGAGTACTCCGAGGAATTGTTCATACTAATACCAGCCGCAAATTTCCACCATCGTTCCAGACGGCAAAATTTTCATCCTCATTACCTGGGTAGTTGGCGCTCCACTACTGTGCGCTTTTCGAGACACTTTTTGCCCCGCACAACCAATTTGTGGAACGGGATATCGTCTGCGGTATTTCCGGACCGATACGACCTTGAAACCGTCATTAAGAGGTGCACGACAATTCGACTCTCAGCTAACGGGTATGAGTACATAATAACGGAAATAATATAACTATCGACATAATCTTGTCTTTCTAAAAAAAAAAAAAAACTTCTTCACAAATGTGTCATTGAAAGAAAAGAAAATATACCAAATTAGCATCTTGTTAAAGGGTACAGATTTACCCAATGCATATGCGTTTAAAAGCCTCACAGCTCCTACATTGGGTCCGACGTAAGTGCCTACAAACCAGCTAACCAGATGTGGTCCAACTTCGAAATACTATGCACAGAGAAAGCTAAGAAAATCCTTGGCATCAAAATCCTCAGTACCAGCTTCGCTCTCTGGACCGCATGCAACGAAGAGCGACTCGAATCGTCGATAGCCCAAACATTTCCGATCGGCTCGATCCCTTGGCGTTACGTAGAGATGTGGCTTCACTGCATTTTCTATAGCATATATCATGGAGAGTACTCCGAGGAATTGTTCATACTAATACCAGCCGCAAATTTCCACCATCGTTCCAGACGGCAAAATTTTCATCCTCATTACCTGGGTAGTTGGCGCTCCACTACTGTGCGCTTTTCGAGACACTTTTTGCCCCGCACAACTAATTTGTGGAACAGGATATCGTCTGCGGTATTTCCGGACCGATACGACCTTGAAACCTTCAAGAAAAGAGCGTACTCCTTCCTAAAAGGCCGGCAACGCGTTTGTGACTCCTGAGTTGCAGCTGTTCATGGGCGGCGATAGTCACTTTCCATCAGGTGACACGTCTGCTCGTCTGCCCCCTCTAAAAAAAATAGCACGAACATTACCTTGCATAAATAAAGAACCACCCTGGTGAAATAAAAGTGTTAAAGATCTGGTAAAACTTAGAGAGATGCCTTTAAAACATGGCAAAAATCGAACCTAGAAAAATACCGTTTAAGGTATAAGGACGGTATAACGCTTCAAGAAGATCGTAAATCTGCAGTAGCGCAATCCAGGTCAAAATCTAGAAAAAAATCTATGATATGTAGGAAAACGCTGAAAATGAGAATGCTATCTATGAAATGCCAAACGTGACAAATACATTAAAACAGCTAGGGTGTAATACTTCGAGCATCTAATGAACGAGGCATTAATAAAGTGAGACAATGCCCTTTATGCCACATTCCGAGGGACCAATAAAACCTGTGTCGATAGAAGAGGTGCAGAAGGTTATATCAAAAATAAAATAAAAGACATTGGCCCTGATCAGATCCCATCTGATATCTGGAAGAAGCTGAACGAAACCTCATTATCTTGGCTGACCAATCTCTTTAATAGTATCCCGAAGGAGGGTAACATTTCAGAATCCTGGCGCATGAGTGCACTATGCCCATTATATAAATAAAAAGGAGATATCGCAGAGCGGAAACTGTAGGAGACTAAAGCTCACTTCCCACATACTCAAATTATTCGAAAGAATCAACACTGGCCGCATAAACGACTATGCCCGTATAACTGAGAACACCATCCGGTGAATGCACCATTGATGCCATACAGATAATCAGAATTGTGATGGAAAAACACCGTTCGAATAAAGAAAATTAGCACCTAGTGTTCATCAGAGTATTCAGAAGTCTGGTTTGGCAGGCACATATCACTACTATACAGCACTAGTCTAAGACAGGTATAAAAGTACTAAGACGCACATTCAAAGCCCGACAGGCCTCAGTAACCCATTTCGCGTGGATGAGGAAGTTCACCAGGGGTCAGCCTAGAGCCCAATATTCATTGGACATAAGACATACAAAGACCAGCATCGGAGTATATGCTCTATGCAGACGACATAGTCCCAGTATGTAAAAATACACCAGACCTTCAAGAGATACTCAATCGATGGGTAACACAAATTTAAACATATAAGCCGAAGTAAAACTGAATATTTAGAATTTGACTCCAGGGGACAACGGAAACAGCTTGTAACATCTATATAAACAACCATGCGCTACCCAAAGTAAACGACTTCAAGTATCTAGATTGTGTGCTTACCGAGGACGTGAACGTTGATATAAAATTCTATGGCTCAAGTACAGATAGCCATCACGTGTTCTCTGTGATCCCAAAATACACGTTGATCCGAATAAAACACAAAACATACGGTAGAACGACCAGTCATGACTTATAGAAAAGAGTGCTGGAGCCTCAAGATAGCACACGAGCAGGAACTGCATACTAATGAAATGAAAATGCTTCGACATGGTGCGAAACGAGTACGACTGGGGATAGTAAAGTAAAAGAGAAGTAACACCGATTACGCTGGTACGGCCATTTTCACGCGCGACGCGAGAATGACCACTCCATCATAAAGGCCCTTAGTATCCCTAACCAACCATGAGGAAGAGGAAGACCGCCCAACACCTGATGGTCAAGTGTGCAGAAGGAGAACTTGAGTACACAGACAATCCAGAAAAGAGCTCTCTGGCGCAAACATACAAGGAGACCCGACCCCAGTTGAATTGGGAAGGGGGTTAAACAAATAAGAAGAAGAGGAGACAATAAAATTTTACAAGAAGATGTAGTGTATAGAGGTTTATCATTGGCTTTTTCATGGAGTGGTCGCATTTTCATGGAGTGGTGAGACAAACAGACATTGGAAGCGGCGATAATGAAACTGCGATACTGGTGTTGATACTTGGATGACATTTGTACCGTGGTCGACTAAAACTCACTAAATGGCCTAAACAGGCAACTTTAAACAGTACATAAGAAGATTCGGTGCACGGTCGAGCAAGAGAGGAATGAAGTGCTGCTGTTTTTGGACGCACTTTTTATGCGGCGCTATAAAGGTCAACAACAACAACAACACACAAGGAGCTTTCTAGCTGCGCACTATATTTGTAGAAGACGATTACCAGTGGTGAAATGATATCCGGTCTGTAAATGTAGTTGAGCGATGGAAAGATACGTTGAATTAGTGACAATAACTATCAACTATCAAAACGACTTTCATTCAGCTAGGAGCTAAAAGATTAAATGCGTTCCATAAAGGATGATTATCCAGTGGAGGCAACGGTATATATTTAATCCGGTGTGACTGCCAAATCAGCCACGTTTAAGAGACTCGCCTTAGCATCGCAACAAGACCACAAAACACATGCTGTAAGAAAACCATGGACAGTAACAGGCCGGCTTCGCTGAATACGTCGGCAAGATGGAGTCGGCTCACTATCTGTATTTAACAAAACTTTTGTAGAAACAATTAAAATAGCCGGCATCCGAATGAAACAGAAACAATGAATGACCGCCTTCTGTTAGGTAAACAGTCTAGAGATTTAAGCACGACGAACCTGTTTTGCTTACAATTTTTGAGACAAAGGTTTATGAAACGCCCAAATTTTACCTACCATAGTTTTCATAATGATGATGATGATAATTTTACCTACTTACCATAGTTTTAGTTCCACTTAATTAAATATAAAAATCAGGCACATGGTTTGGGGTGCCTGTATCCTAAACAATCTCGATGGGGTAACGTCGGCTACCGGGGGTAAACCAACCCTAGCACAATAAAACATCGTGAACGTGCCAGGAAAAAGGCTAGGAACCCATCATCTCAGAATTTCACTTGGCGTTATGTTGAAATCAGAAAATAATCGTAACCCCGACCACGCACAGCGATCGTAGAGGACGGGAATCTCTACCCCTGGCACTCGTCAACGTCAGTGCCCTAATATACAACAAGCCAAGGAACTGCTCCAACTAGGCAGAATAGTGGCAACAATTTAATTCAATTTGAAATTTAACATCATTGGGCCGTTGAACATCTATCGGAGAAATTCATATTTAACCAACGGCCATATTTAAACAAGCCCCATCTCAGTAACTATGGATTGTGCAAACGAGGCCCCCTACCTCGTTTGCACAATCCATAGTTACTGAGATGGGGCTTGTCGTTGTTATAAAAAAGTTAGTATTACGTAAAGTAAATTTAAAGAAGTAGCCCCACAAGCTTGTGAAATAGTTACGTGCGGGTCTACGCTTCCACGCGACCCCCGCTTGGTGACTTGGTGACACTAATGTGACGCTTGGCACATTAGTGTGCGTACGGCCGCGGGGTGCGCTGAAGAGCGGAACTGTGAGTATAATCTTGTGTGTGTGTCGTCTTATTTCTCTTTGCTTTAAGCTTCATAGACGATTTGTTCGTTCGTGTATTCGGACAACGTCCGTACATAAAGGTGCGGGCGATGAAGTGTATACCATCGGTGCCTTTAACTACACACTGAAGTTTTTAGAGTTGGGGAAGCGATGAGTGGTGAGGAGGAGTACTACCGCCGTCTGCTAGAGGAGCAGATGACGGCGCGGGAGGAGGAAATGAGGGTGCTCGAGGAAATGAGCGCAGAGGCGGGATTTCGACCGAGACAGTCCTTGCAAAGGACTCCACCGAGTCACTTCCGTCACTCGTCGTCTGATCAGGACCAGCAACCTACTGCTGCCACTGCCTCTGGTAAGAGGCCTCTGGCGTCTCCCCAGGAGGTGCAAGAGGCTATCAGGAGAAGAATACAGGCGGCGCGCAGACCGGCAGCTCCGCCTGTTGGAGGTATTTTGTCTGCCCCAATCCCGACCCGACCTACGTCACCGGAATGCTCGCCCCAGCCTAGGATGCTGGCTGGCGCGGAGAGGACTGTGCAGGGGGCTACGCAAAGGACTGCCGTTACTGAACAGGGCCCAGTGGATGTGGACCTGGCGGACGCTCCGGCTCAGAGGCTGGCGGGGATGGCAACGGCGGCGACAAAAGGGATCATGGAAGCGGTCAGGTCGAAAACATCGCGTCTCAACAAGGATGAGGTGGCAGCGATCGGGGCCCACACCGAGCGCCTCAGCGCTGTGATTGCGCATCTGGCCATCAGACTGGCTGCGGCGAAGGCGGCCTCGAGCAGCACCGTGGGATCACTGCAGACACGGACTAGCGGGAGCGACGCTAAGGGAACAGGGGTCGTGTCTTACAGCGACGCCCTTAAACTAAGGAAGGGAGCTGTTCCGATGCCGATCCCTAAGCGGCTGGGTCCGGCGGTGGTCATCTACCCGTCAGAGGAGACCCGGGAGGAAGTAAAAACCGCCGAGGACACTAAGAGGCTGCTCAGATCAGCTGTGGACCCCTCAAAGTTGGGTGTGCAGATTGAGGGAGTTAGAAAGGTCGGAAACGCAGGTGTGCTCGTCCAGACCACGTCCAGAGAGGAGGCGGAGGTCCTCAAAAAGGCAATGCCGAAATCTCTGCGTGTGGGCGAGCCTAGGGAGAGGAGGCCACTGGTGGCGCTCTCCGGAATGGAGACGGGGCTGCCATTTGATGCAGTTCTGACCAAAATAAAGGAACAGAACTTGGAGGAAGATGGCCAATGGCCACTTGAGAAACTAAAAACTGACATGAAGCTGCTGTTTACCCGGAAGCGAGGCAACCGTACCGTTAGTGTCTTCTCCTGCACACCCGGGTTGCGACGCCTACTTATAGAAAAAGGAAGGATCTACGTGGGCTGGGAAGCGGTAGAGGTGACGGATTACGTGGGGGTCACATGCTGCAACCGTTGCCAGCTCTTTGGGCACCCTGAAAAATACTGTCGGGCTAAGACCATGACCTGCGGCAACTGCGGGGACGACGGTCACAGGAGCGCGGAGTGCCAGGCCACGTCTTCAAGATGTGCCACGTGCACAAAGTTTAAGCAACAGTCGACGCACAAGACGAATGCCCGGGAATGCCCTGCGAGGCTGCACGCTGAGGCCAGATCCATTGAGGGAGTTAATCTGGATAGTACGAGAACTTTGAGGATCGGCCAAGTAAACCTCCAGGGCTCGTCACTGGCCACCAGGGAGCTGCCACGGGTTGCGCGCGACCATGGCCTTGACGTGGTCCTCGTCCAGGAGCCTTACACCGGGGTGCGAGGGGAGGTCGACAATGCGGTTATCATTGTCGCAGCAGGAGGAACATCTAAGGCAGGCATCTACATACCGGCACTGGACGTGAGATGCGCATACCTGGAGGCGCTGTGCACCAGCCACTGCGTGGTGTGCCACATGGCTTGTGGCCGCAGGGGTGCCTACTTGGTGAGTGCGTATTTCCAATACGCGGAAGATATCTCGGTCCACATTCACCACTAGAGGGTGAGAGGGTACTGGATGTGCTGCGCGGTGAAGCAGTACTGATATGCGTAGACACCAATGCTCACTCACCAATGTGGCACTCCGACCAGCGGCACCCGTCAGGAAGAGGGCGGGAGGCCCGTCGGCGACGCGAGGAAATGGAGGCGCTGATCCTGAGCCGAGACCTCCTAGTACATAATAGGGCAGGACAGCCGCACACGTTCTCCTCTGAGAATGGGGAGTCTAACATCGATGTCACCATCTCGACGCGGGGCGTGAGGACGGAGGACTGGAAAGTGATAGAGGACGCAATCGAGTCCGATCACCGCCTAATTCGTTTCGAGTTGCCTGGAAGACGTGTAGGGGGGCCTACCCCTATTGCGGAACCGCTGGCCGGAACCCCGGTGAGGTACCGGGAGCGTGGGGTGGACTGGGACCGATTTCGGAACATGATCAGTCATCATGCAGGTCGAGTAGACTGGGGTAAGCCGGCGGAGGTAATCTCGAGACGCTTCACCGATATGGTGGTGCGAGCAGCAGTCGAGTGTTTAGGCGTGCGCGGGGAGGGCAATACTACAAGGGGTTATGAACGGTGGTCTCCAGCTCTGGAGGCCCTACGCAGGGGTAATAATAAAGCAAGGAAGGTTTGGCAAAGGCTTAAGAGACGGGGGGGGGGGGGGGTACTGGGAACAACAGGCCAAGGTTGACTATCACACGAAGCGTAGGATATACAGAGAGGCGATGGAGAGGGCGCAGCTCGAATTCTTCCGGGAACTTGCGGATTCCGGTAACGTCGACCCATGGGGACTTGCATACAGAGCAGCGAGCGGCAGAGTACGCCCGCCACCTAACGTAATTAACGGGGTGGTACTCATGGGAAGCAGTACTTTAGACGTGGAGAGCACGATGAAGGGAATAATGCAGGCTCTATGCCCAGATGACGATCTGGGGCGAGATACGGCATACCATCGCCAGGTCCGAATAGCGGCAGCCTGTCTGCCGTCGGGTCGGGATGCGCCTCCTCCTTCGCTGCAACAAGTCGAGAAAATACTCAGGGATCTCCCTAACACGGCTCCGGGGATCGATGGAGTTACAGCCCGCATGTTGAAACATGTGTGGCACGTGGCTGGCTCCGAGCTGACGCGAGTTTTTGGTAAGTGCGTTACGGAGGGTGTTTTTCCCGATGCGTGGAAGGACGGGCGGCTCATCATCTTGCCGAAGGGCGGTGATAGGCCACTGTCCGATCCTAAAGCGTATCGCCCCGTAACGCTACTCTCGGTCCTGGGTAAGACCCTTGAGTGGGTTATGCTTGCATGCGCGCCTACCATCTCGCGCGGTATCTCGGCGGGGCAGCACGGGTTCTCTCGGGGTAGGTCGACGCTAACAGCGTTAAACGAGATTCTGACGTCAGTGTCTGAGAGCCGGTCTAAGTATGTACAGGCAATATTCCTGGACATCTTGGGCGCCTTCGACAATGCCTGGTGGCCGATGGTCCTGTTAAAGGTTAAGGGGGGGGGGGGGCTGCCCGCCCAACATCTACAGGATGCTAGCCTCCTACTTCACGAATAGACGTGTGGGCTTGTTTCTTGGGAAGGAGGTCCTGTGGAAGAAATCCACAATGGGATACCCGCAGGGGTCGGTGCTCGGGCCGTCACTGTGGAACATCCTGACGGACGACCTGCTCCGGCTGCCGTATCCAGACGGAGTAAAGCTGGTCGCATACGCGGATGATGTTACGATTCTCATTGAGTCTGAATCGCGAGCCGGCATCGAGGCATCAGCCTCATGCGCCATAAGTGAATGGGGGTCGCGAAACCGACTGGCCTTCTTCCCTACCGAAGCATATACTATGACTATGAAGGGAGGACTGGTTGGAAGGCCGCCCACAGTTAGACTCGATGGGATCTCAGTCAAAAGCGTACAATCGACCAGAGTTCTAGGTGTGGTGATTGACGCGGGTCGGTCCTTTCAGGAACACGCGGTGTCGATAGGGGAGCGGGCTGCTGCGGGGTTCGGAAAGATGGCTAGGGTATCCGCATCATCCTGGGGGGTTAGGTATCGCGCCCTAAAAATTCTTTATCAGGGCACCTTTGTGGCTACGGTCACATATGCGGCGGGATGTTGGTGGCGGCGACACACTGCGTACGTAGTTAGGACGGCACTGCTTCGGGCGCAGAGACCGGCTCTCATACTACTGACCAAATGTTACAGGTCAGTGAGTACCGCGGCCATGCCAGTTTTGGCGGGGGTGTTACCGGCGGACCTCGAGGTTGCGCGTGCTGGTAGGGTTGACGAGGTACGGGGACTGCCGGGGGTCGAATTCAGGACCAGGAGGAAACAAATCACGGAGGAGACTGTAGCCGAATGGCAACAGAGATGGGCAGCGGAGGATAAGGGTAGGGAGCTCCATCGATTTTTCCCGGACGTGGCGGCTCGCCTCGGGGCGACTTGGGTCGAGCCGGACTATCAAGTCTCGCAGATTTTAACCGGGCATGGGTGCTTCAATAAGAGGCTGTCTGACATGCGACTGCGCGAGAGCAGTGCGTGTCTGTGCGGAGCCGGGGACGAGGATTTCCACCACGTTTTGTGGAGCTGCCACTTGTACCACGAGATAAGGGGGGTAATGATAGATGGGATCGTGCGTTCGGATGAGCGACCGGCCTACTACTGCGATCTGGTGTCCTCTAAGAGGAACTACCAGCGGTTAAGAGACTTTGCGCATAAATGGTTTAAGATCAGGGGTAGGCTGGAATAAAAGTACGGGCCCAGGACCTTGGCGGGCGCGCGAACGGAGGCGTGATTGTGCCGTTGCCCGATAGGGGATCTCACCAGAAGCAGCCCCAGAATGGGGAGAATGCTCGATAGGGACTAGTTAAAAACAACTTGTAGAGATCAAGAAGCGCCTGCGGGTGTAGTGACGCCTACGTGCCATACCCGCAGCCGTCTCACGATTCGGCCCATATGACATGAAGTCGGTGGGGCCATGGGAAGGTGGTGGGTTGTCCCTATCTACTTCGTCGTTCGCTCTCGTCGGAGACGGTCGTATTGAAGTGCGCGCTGAATTTTTAAATTTTTAAATTTATTTAATTCAGTATATTTTTATTTCTGTAGTTCGAAAATCGGTCCCTCCTGCTCTCTCTTGGGGTAGTGCCCATAAGAGGCAGCGGCCATTTTGATTTTTGTACGGCGAAAAGTGAGACAGAGACTCGGTGTTCTGACATTTGTGGTGTGTAATCGGCCCCTCTCGCTTGTTCTTGGGACATCGCTCATAAGAGGCGGCGGCCATATTGATTTCGTGAGTGAGACAGTGACTCGGAGTGAGTGACAGTGACACTAGTGACAGTGACACAACCGCGATAAGTGCGACAGTGACGTTTAACTAGTTCTTTTACTAGTAGTGCGCGTGTTCGCCTACAGAGGGCGCAGTGTTAGTGACACATCCCACTAGTTACTTAGTTTATATCTGTGTTCGTGTTTTGCCCATAGAGGGCGCCGTAATCTCGTTGGTGACATTAACCAACAAGTGTGTGCGTTTCACCGGCAGAGGGCGCGCGTGTTGCGTGTGCGCCTATATATACTACCTGGAGCGGTAGGGGTGAGTGCTTCCAAGTACATTTGCGGCTGTGTTTTCCTCGACGACCTGTACTCGCGAACCTTAGGTTCGTGAATTTCATTTGTTTCACTACAATAGTGGTGACTACAGGTGGTGACCTTCGGTGGGCACATAACCGCCGTACATAGTTTTTTTTTTTTTTTCTTTTTGTTTGTATCATAGTTTTATAGCATTGTAGTGTAGACCTAGATATGAGCAGCTCCTCGGAGGAGGGGGGTCACCCCCCTCCCCGACCGATGGACCCATTTAGGCCGAGGGGGTCCTTGCGTAGGACCCCACCAACGGAGCCGCGCGCTGCCCGGGAGGTTGTCATGAGGACGCCGCCTGAGGTCCTGGAGCTGGCACAGGCGGCCTTCGACTCTGTCCTCGCTGCGGCATCGCCGAGGAGTATCCCGGCGTATCCCCCCACCCCGACGTTTTCTCCCGCACCCTTGCAGGATCCGGAGCCCTTGGCGCCAGAACGCCAACGCCCCGGCGCCGCAAAGCGCATACTCTCGCCGGATGCTCAGGCGGAGACGGAGCCGAAGCGCCGCACTGCTCGCGATCTGTCGGTGGCCAGTGGCCAACCTGAACATCTTGCACCACCCATAGTGCACACACCGGCCACGGAATACGGGTCGCCCTTCTCGTCGGGCGACGACGAATTCCTGCTAGGGGACGAGGACTTGGCCAGAGCCTCGGCGAGACAGCTTCTCGCCAAGGCCAGCTTGGCGTACCGCAGTATATCGGCGGTAGCGGGCGGGCAGGCATCCCGCCTCAATAAGGCGGATCTAGCGTCCATAAGCGGACAGCTCAGGGTCATCATGGAGATTGTGGGGCACTGCTGCGTCACCGTGGAGGGACAAAAAAGTGCGGTTGCAGAGATGCAGAAGCACCACAACATGCTGGATGAGGCCCGCGCACGAGAGGCCGAACGTGCCTCGAGGGCGGAAGCCGAGGCCGAGCGGGCCAAACTGGAAGCAGCGGCAGCTTCTACCACGATCGGTGCTACTAGCGACGGCTGGCAGACCGTGAATTATGCGAGGGCCTTGAAACGGGCCCCAAAAGCAGCACCCTTAAGGATTCCCCCCCCTCCCGCTGCGACCCTGGCGATATACCCGGCGGAAGGAAGTGATCTGAAAACAGCGGAACAGACCAAAATGGTGCTGAAAAGATCAGTCGAGCCGGGACAGTTGGGAGCCCAAATAGTGGGGCTACGACGGGTCGCCAACTCGGGGCTAATTCTGAAGACTGCTACTCAAGAAGCGGCAACAAAAATTAAGGCGGCAATGCCGGCGACCCTGCAAGTCAGGGACGCCAAATCAAGGTCGCCCTTAGTTGCCCTGAGAAACTTGGAGGGCGACCCGAAAATTGAGGACGTGATTGCAGCCATGCATGACCAGGACTTCAAAGAAGATTCGACATGGACACTAGAGAAGCTGAAGAAAGAAGCCAGGATGGCCTTTAAAAAGTCCAGAAGAGGTGGGAACCGGACTACGGTAGTGCGGGCATGCTCCCCCTCACTACGAACAGCGCTAGTGTCCAAGGAAAGGCTCTACATCGGCTGGGAGGTAGTGGTAGTGGAGGACTATGCAGAAGTGACATGCTGTCATAAGTGCCAGCAGTACGGCCACCCGGAGAAGTTGTGCCGTGCCAATTCACCTACCTGCAGCAAGTGTGGCAAGGAAGGCCACAAAATGGAGGACTGCAAGTCGCCAACCTCCTGTTGTGCGACTGGACTGTCACCCTAGCAGAAGCAGGCCGGGGTGGCGGCGAGCGCGTTGCGAAGCGCGCTCGCTTCCAGGGAGCACAGGGAACATGGGGTTCCCACACGGGGCGGGGGTCGTCTACTCGTCTGTAGATGACCCGAGGTATGTCGGGGCACCAGGGCCTTCCTTTCTAGGGTATACCTGGTTCCCCGGCAATTAGTACCCGGCGAAGGCGTGCGGTTTTAGTCGGTTCGTGTCCGACATGCCACCGACAGGTGGTATCCAAGGGGATTTCCGCACGGAAAAAAAAAAAAAAAAAAAAAAAAAAAGGTACAGTGATGACATAGATCTACACTTGGACCAGCTAGGGCGGGTCCTAGACCATCTACGCGGTAGGAAGGTAATAATATGTGCAGACACCAACGCCCACTCCCCGATGTGGTTCTCCGAGCCACGGCAGTACCGGGGCAGAGGCCCTGATGTCAGCCACCGCAAGGAGGCCATGGAGGCCTTCATACTAGCTCGCAACCTCCGAATTGCGAACACCGCTGGAGAACCGCACACCTTCAGCACCGCTAACGGGGAGTCGAACATCGACCTCACCTTACACACAAGGGACGTGCACATATTGGACTGGAGAGTTCATATCGGAGCCAGTTCTAGCGACCATCGGCTAATTACCTTCAGTGTGGCGAGCTCAGGCTCATTTGCTCCACGTGCTGAGCTGCAGGGGGGGCTGCCGATTAGGTTCCGGGATCGCCGTGCAAACTGGGAACTCTTTGAATCGAAAATCCACGAGCGTATGGGTTGGATTAAATGGAGCACGCCGGCGTCCGCGGTATGTAAGCAGTTTAATAGTATAATTGTAAGTACAGCAAAAGATACCCTTGGGGTATCTCGTGAAAGTAAGAGAGACAATGGCTATGAATGGTGGACAAACGAGGTTGAGAGGCATCGGGTTGAAAATATGCGCAAAAGGAGGATGTGGCAACGTACCCGGAAACGGGCAGGCCAGGCGGAAATTGAGGCAAGAGAGGCGTTTCATCGTGCTAGGAGTGAATATAGAGCGGCCATGGAGAGGGCGCAACTTAAATTTTTTCGTGACATAGCCGAATCCGGTAATCAGGACCCCTGGGGTGTTGCTTACCGTGCCGCGTGCGGGAGGGTTCGCCCTCCACGCAATGTAATTAGTGGGACAAAGTTTGCCGAAGGGTATGCTGGGAGCGTGCGCGAGGCCGCGCACAGCCTTATACATAGCCTGTGTCCGGACGACTACCTGTCCAAGGACGATGTTTATCATCGACAGGTGCGCTTGGCGGCTGCGTGCTCGCCCTCAGGTGAGGATGCCCCCTCTCCGTCGGTACAAGATCTAGATAGTATAGTCAGGGCTTTGCCTAACACTGCTCCGGATCAGCCGCGGGCTGTCGGACTGCCAGCATGGTTTCACTCGGGGACGGTCGACGGAGTCTGCACTTCTGCAACTCCTTTCTTCTGCTAGGAACAGTTCGTCTCGGTACGTGCAAGCCGTTTTTCTTGATATCTCTGGCGCCTTCGACAACGCATGGTGGCCTATGATCTTGCTGAAGGCTAAGCGGGGGGGTTGCCCGCGTAACATCTACTCGATGCTTGCGGGCTACTTCGTCGACAGGCGCGTTGGCTTGTTCGTTGGCAATCATGTCGAGTGGAAGACGGCAACTATGGGTTGCCCGCAGAGATCGGTGTTGGGACCCACGCTCTGGAACGTCCTGATGGATGACTTGCTTCGGTTGCCGCTCCCTGGGGGGGTGGAGATTGTGGCGTACGCCGATGACGTGACGATCCTGGTTGAGGCGGATTCCCGGGCGAGAGTAGAGGCGACGGCCTCTACCGTTTTACAACTCGTCGGTGAGTGGGGGACCAGAAATCGGCTGCGATTTTCCTCCTCGAAGTCGTCTACGATGACTCTGAGGGGGAAACTACAGCGTCCCCCCACCATCAGGTTCGGCGGCGAATCGATCAGGAGCGTCACGTCAACCACAGTCTTGGGGGTGGTAATCGACGCGAGCCTGTCGTTTGCTCAGCACGCAGCATCCATTGGGGAGCGGGCGGCAAATTGCTTCGGCAAGATGTCGAGAGTGTCGGCGAGCTCGTGGGGGGTTAGGGCACTACGGGTACTGTACCAGGGTACGTACGTCGCTACGGTGACGTACGCTGCCGTATGCTGGTACGAGCGTGCGTCCCTACACGTTGTGCGGAGGGCGCTTCTGCGCACCCAGAGACCGGCCTTGGTCCTTCTGACCAAGGCGTACCGAACGACGAGCAGTTCTGCCCTCCCGGTATTGGCCGGCGTACTTCCGGCTGACCTCGAGGTAATCCGTGCTGGCAGACTAGGCGTAGCGCGTACACAGCACGCGACCAAGGTAGAGCTAGCGGCGGAGAAACGTCGCAATTGGGACCTCGTTGTCGACGCCTGGCAAACCAGGTGGGACACCTCAGAGAAGGGGAGGGAAACGTATCGGTTCTTCCCTGACGTGGCGGTGAGACTCGGGGCAACCTGGGTCGAACCGGACTATGAAACGTCGCAAATCTTAACCGGACATGGTTGCTTTCGTAAAAGGCTCTGTGATTTGAAGCTAACCGAAGTCAGCGAGTGCTACTGCGGATTAGGCGTAGAAGAGGATATGCATCATGTGTTGTGGGAATGCCCACTGTATGAGGAACAAAGGTGTAAGTTGCTGAATGGGATTACTAGTTTCGAAGACGGACCGGTGTACTACGGTGACCTGGTTTCCTCTGAGACGAACTTCAAGCAGCTACGGGACTTCGCGCACGGGTGGCACTACATTAGGAGCAGATTGGAGCGATGATAACGGCGGCTATAGAGCGCGAACACGAAGTCGCCGTTATGTGACGTCAAGCCCCAGAAAGGGGAGAGTGTCCAAAGACAAATAGGGACGGACATAGAGATAAACAATATGTAGGGAGTCAAGAAAGGACACGCGTGAAAGGGCTCGAGCAAGTAGCGCGTGTCCCTCCCGTGCTTCGGCCCGTTATAACCGAGAGGTTGGTAGGGCCATGGGAAGGTTGGAGGGTGTCCCTATCTACTCGTACCGTGACCCTATCTAATCGTACTTCGTTCGTCGTTCTCGTCGGGGACGGACGTGTTGTGAAGTGCGCTGCGCGATTTTATTTGATTACTTTAATTTTAATTGTACCCAACTGTTGCGTGGTGTGAGGAATCGGCCGCTCTCGCTCTATCCTGGGGCTGTGGCCATTAAAGGCAGCGGCCATCTTTAAAAGTGAAAGAGATAGT